TGGTCTATCCGGCAGAGGCAGGAGGATAGAGACCTTTTTATGATGGCGTCTACATGGCTGGAACATACGGCCAGGGAGGCTTTCTCCCTTTATGGATGACGGTGTAATATTCGGATAGGATATACCCCACCTTAGACTGGACTTTTAATTATTGATGATGTAAAATGATATTTTATCTCTGGTTGTGTTGGACGTGTTGTGTGTGTGCATCGTATTATGTAGAGGCCGTGCTTTCTTTTAATGTTATTGTATCACCTCGATATATCAATTGAATGAAATGTTCTTTGTCGAAAAATAGCTAAATATGACTAATATTATCACAATTCCGTTTAGCATAGGAATACAAGTATTTCGTTGTGTCATGAGCAATTTGATATCATGCAAAAGGATTCCAAAACTTGATCAGTCCATACCTTCTTTCCTCAAAATGTTAACCGCTTTGAAACAATCATTCTCAGTATGTATTGAGAGTTGCCTCCACTGTATGACTAGAGACATGCCTTCTTTAGTCGAATATAATTCAGCTTCCAAGGCAGACGAGCAATGTTGAAGACAGCTGCATGATGAAAACACTATCTCTCCTATATGGTCTCGAAGAATCATGCCACCTCCAACATCTCTCGTAGCCTGGACAAAGGACCCATCCGTATTTAACTTAGCCCATCCGGTTTTAGGAACACCTGCCAAGATGAAACCTATACAGCCAGTAGCGAAGTTACACTTGAAAACCTGGGCGGTCCAAACGGAAGGAAAGTCCCACCGTTTTACTCTGATGGCCCATTTTACTCTCATATCTCAGTGAATTTTCACTGAGCTGGGCGGGTCATAGCACAATTTTGCTTGCGCGTAGGTTTGCCCGTGTAGACAACACAAATGTTCTCGGTTAAGTTCGATCATATATTCAAAAAGGCTATGCCCCACTTTATACATATAAGCATGATAAGCAAACATCCAGCTGCATACAGCACAACATCACAACATACAACCAAGATAGGATAGAAAGGAGATGAGTATTAGCAAGACTACTCCATGCCAAGCACAAATGAAAAAACAAAACCGCTGCTTGGAGACAATAGAGCTCTCAACCGTGGCCAAGCCATCGTGAAGGAGGAGCTGACACCACTCGTTGACGCATATCATAGTTAGACATCATCAAATTTAAAACCACCTTCTTTTGCAAGAAAAACTTGAAACTATGACATTTCTCTTTTTTTCCCTATAAGAAACCGTGTGTGTACTCCTTATGTCTGCTATTTTTTAATCGTTTGGAGACGTGAGTAAGTGCCGATAGACATGATCCACTCTCGTTTATGTTAACCACCCGAACTTTCCAGTGGCCAAATCTTCGCCATGCAATAATCTTCATAACGTTTTGGAGGCGTACGTTACGTGCCAGGAGGCCTGGCTCGCCCGCTCAATCTGTTATTATTTATCCCAGGAACATTCCGGCGACCAAATCTTCGCCATATTTCAGTGAATCAATTCTCCACACGACCCGCACGCATCCTATCGGTTTGGTCGTCCCGTCCGCCGTCGCGTATCCCCGCTTCCGTCTGCTAGATGCGCGCGGCCGGGAGGAGATTATTCGGAGGCCTCGTCGGGTGCCGCCTCCGGTCACGAGCCGGGATATTCGATCGACGGCGACCGGGGTTCCGTGGGGCTAATTCGGTGGACTTTCTGCGGAGGCCGCGGGAGTAGAAAACAAAATGTGACGTTTGCTTCTTTTTATTTTGGTGGATGGGAACGGGACAGTACAGGTACTACCACGTGACATTGACTCGTGTGGCGGTGTGGGGGATTGGAATTGTGTATGCTTTTTCTGGCATTCTTTGCGGCATAGGAAGAGGCATGCGTGCGTGTAGAGTGTAGCGTGGCTGCTTGCTCCCGCTACGTCCTAGGCCAAGTGAAACTTATCTCTCCCGTTTTCGAGCAACCAAGTGATCGCTGCTGTGGACTTGTGGTGACCGGCTCCCTGAACACTCAACCAAGCATGCATTTATTGGAAGGGCCTTTTCGGCTCTGGGGTGCATGCGCTTCCTGATGAACAGTAATTCAAAATAAATATTGAATAAAATCTGATTTTGTCTTTTTTGTTTCTCTAAGTGTAGTTCGGATTAGGGGTCGAAACCTTTTGAGGTTCTACATCAAGCATGGATGTGTGTCTGCTAATATTTTCAGAACTTCTAGACATGTTTTGTATCTTCAAAAAGACTGATCTCACCTAAAGCCAGATCCTATACTGGTTTTTCCCGTTTTAGCACATAGGCATGCACGTTGGAGTTAGGCTAGTCATAGTGGGAGTAACTTAGCAAGTAACATAGCGCACTCTGAGAAATTTTTGCTTATGTGGCATGCAATTAATGAGAAGTGATAACACAATATGTTACTGTAACATAGCGTTTTTTAAAACAAGATGGGTCTACAAGCTAATTAATGAAGTCCTATATGACACTACTACTATATTACTTTGCACTATAAAGATAATAACTTAGACTAGTGTCATGCATATGATACTAGTCTAAGTTACTCCCCACTATGACCAGCCTTATGCACGACCACGATCCATTAATATATAAACTGGATGCAGATCGATGGCTCACGTGAACAGTACCGGCTAGCGAATCTTAAAACGGCGCCATGGCTTAGATCATGCACCGTCTTGTGCCTACTTATATCGCTTATTGAAGAAAAAACTCGATCCTGAGAAATTTCTTACTGTACTAGCTCGTCTTTAAGAAAGAAAATTCACACAGTACGTTTTGTCCGTAAAAACAATCTAGAGGTTTGCCCTTGTACGTATACATACACACGAGTCAATGCTCATTGCTCGCTTAAAATATCAAGGTGGTACCAGGAATTCACTGCTCGCACCGCCGTCTATCGGGCCGTACGTACGTGTGTGGCCGGCATGCATGCGCTCGTTCACCCCGCGCGCAAACGCGTCTCGCTCTCGCCGCTGGTGATGGCGAGGGGCGTTTGGTTGGAGCGAGCGAGAGGTGACGGGTGATGGGCGCGCTCTGACGCCGTGCGATCCGTGGGATCCTCACTGACGTCGAAAAGGGCAGAGGCGACCGCGGCATGGCATGCGGATGGCGCTGCTGCGTTCACAGGACAGCGGCTCGCCGGCCGGACCGACCACACCAAGGAGGGAGAGAAGATAGGGTGGAGGCAGGAGGAGGAGGAGCGAAAGTCTCCACGCGTGTCGTGCGTGCGTGCTGTCCATTTCTCGCCTCGCTGTTCTCTGTACCTGCCTGCATCGTGCGGATTTTCACGATCATTCTCCTTCCACCGTACCTGTACTCCAAGATCAAATACGCCAAATGATCAACTTTGTTTTTGTGTGTGTTTTTGTGATGGGTTGAGTAGTTTGTTCGTACTCGTACGTGGCCAGACATTTATTTGTTCACGAGAGTGGGTGGATCACGAGAGGTTCACAACGCACCGTGTCCGTGCGTTCATAGGATCGCCCCAGGGAGCCAATAGCCATAGGATATTTTTGTCACTCCCGCGAACTTTCCAGCAGCCGAATCTTGGCCATGCAATAATCAATTCTTCACGCGACCAGCACGCATCCTATCCGTTTGTTCCGTCCGCCGTCGCCACGCGCCGGGCGTATCCCTGCTTCCGTCTGCTAGATGCACCGCGGCCGGGGCGGCCACCTGAGCGCCGGCGGCACGCCACCAAACCATTTTGTCGACGCGACGCCGGTTTCCATAGATTATTCGGAGGTTTCGTCCGTCCCGTGGCGCACGCCTCCGGTCAGGAACCGAGAGATTTGGTCGACGGCGACCGGGGCTCCCCGCAGACTAATTCTGTGGACTTTGTGTTTGTGGAGACACTGCGGTAGTAGAAACCAATTGTGACGTTTTTTTGGAGGATGGGAACGGGACAGAACAGGTACTTGACATTGACTCGTGGGAATTGTGTATGCTTTTTCTGGCATTCTTTTGCGGAATTCCTTCTTTTGCGGCTTTGCGGCGTAGGAAGATGTATGGCCTGCGTATATAGTGCAGTGTTGCCGCTGCTCTGGTACGTCGTAGGCCAAGAGAAAGCCTATCTTATTTTCCTTCTTTTCGTCCAACAAAGTGAGACTTATCTGATGTCTATAGTGGACTTTGTGGTTACCGGCACTCTGAGCATTCAACCAAGCATGTACTGGTACGGCTTTACCGGTGCACATAGCCATGCATGATGCCTGCCGGAATCAAGATGCAGATCGACTGGCTCACGTGAACAGTCGAGGCTAGACGGCTGGGCGAATCTTGAAATGGCGTCATTGCTTAGACCATGCATCGTTTCTTTTGTTGTTTGGAAACCCAATTGCGAGAAATTTCATGATTTGTCTTAGAAAAAGAAGGGCATGTCTAGAGCACATCTAGGTGTGCTCTACTTATTGCACATTTAAGTGAGTGAATCGAGCATAAAAAAGAAAAATAAATATTCACACGAATTACAATGTAAGATCAATGACATAGGACTTAGATATGCAATATTTATGACACATCTAGATGTGCTTTAGTAAAACGGAAAATAAAATATCGTTTTGTCCTTGAAGAACAACCTAGAGTTTGCTCTTGCGCGCACACCGCATAAACCAGTCAAATCTCTGTGCTCACAGTCACAGTGTAACACGACTCGATCTGGCAGCTGCTCTCCCGGAGGAGCATGTGCGCTAGCCAGCCAGTGGATGTACAATATAGCCAGCCAGTGGATGTACAATGTCCTCGCCCACACATGGGTATGACCTCGTGGGCAGACTGATAGACTACCGTACTAATCCAACTCCAACCTCGTACCACACCCTTGCATTAACAAGCCGTACGTACTACTCCCTCCGTTCCAAAATAGATGACCCAACTTTATACTAGCTTTAGTACAAAGTTGTACAAAGTTGGGTCATCTATTTTGGAACAGAGGGAGTAGTAGGAGTATATTCCATTGCGCGCATACCCACCGCCGCCCGTTCGACCGTATGTACTAGGAGTACGTGTGTGGCCGGCATGGGCGCGCAGGCGCGCGCGCGCTCTCTCACGCCGCTCCCGAGGGTCGTCTGGTTGGAGCCGGCGGGACGTGACGGGCGACTTGGGCGTTCTGACGCCGGTGCGATCCGCGGGATCCTGACTGAGGTCGACAAGGGCGGGGGCGGTTGCGGCACGCGGGTGCTGCGTGCGTGCGCGCGCTGCGTTCACAGGACTGCACCTCTCGTCGACCGACCACTCGAGGAGATAGAGAAGAGATATGGTGGGAGTACGGAGGAGGAGCCAAAGTCTACTCCTCGACGGCATGCACGGCCGGGCCGGAGCGCGTGCTGTCCACCTCTCGCCTCGCCGTTCTCTGTACCCGCATCGTGCCGATTTCGACGATCATTCTCCTTGATCCGTCCCAGTACCCCAAGATCAATGTGCGACGGAACAATCATTCCTTTTGTGTGTGTGTGTGTGTGTGTGTGTGCTGGGTTGGGTGGTTTGTTCACGCGTGGGCTGACCAGGCATTCATTTGTTCACGTGAGCGGCTGGACCACGAGAGGAGAGGTTCACAACGCATATCGTGTCGATCCGTGCGTTCGGGTCGCGGCGGTGGACCAATAGCCATAGGATAGGATACTTTGTTGCGAGAAAAAGGAAAGACGGGAAACGTAGCAGCGAGCGAGCCAGCGGACGGGCCAGCCAGGCTCAGGCTCAGGCTCGCCGCCCGGCCCGGTCCCACGGGACTGACAGAGGAGCAACAAGCAGTAGGAGTAGAAGAGGACACACCCCCACACACATGAGAGGAGAGAAGAAGAGAAAAATCGATCGATCGATCAAACGCTCTTCCGTCCTTCCTCCTGCCCACCGCCGGTGGCCCCCACCTCCCTTTCTTACTGCTCTCCCGCCCGCTATAAATACCGCCTAACGCGGCGCTTCCTCGAGAAGCCAAAACCGCGCCGCGCAACCCCGCAGTCCCCACCGGCGCCGCCCCCACCGCCGCCGCCTCCGGGGCGCGTCCCCGCTCCCGCGCCGACGAGGGCCCGGCATTGCCGATCGGACCCGCGCGCCGCTTCCTTCACCCCCCCTCCTACCCCTCGCGCACGCCGCCGACGCCGCGTGCTCACCGGTACGGCCCCCCGACTCTCCGATCCCTCCCCTCTACCCGCGTCTCGGTTCGGTTCCTAGTAGATCCGTGGGCGCGCGAGATGCATGCCTCCCCCGTGCCGTCCGCTCGCCGTCCGGCGCACGACGTAGAGTTCACGCCGCGGGTTTTACAGTGGTTTTTGGGGTGGTTCCCCGTTCCATTTACCCTTTTTTGTCCGCGAGTTCGTCCGTATCGTGGAGAACTAATTTCGGTAAAAAACAACGACCACATCAGCCGTCGCGCGCCTGCGGCGTGCGGCCGATTCCCGACGAGTGGATTTTCCCGGGGGTTTCCTTGCCGGTTTTGATCCGTTCAGAGTTACAATCTTCGAGTTGTTCTTAGCTATGCGGACAAACGAAACGAGCGTTTCAGTCTGCGGTCCATGTGCATGTGGACGCGGAGAGGGTTCCATTTGGATCTGCATGTCCATTTCCCAGACCGCAGGTTCCCTCCCGGAAATATTCCTATATTTTATTGCCTGCGTCAGTTGTAGTGTAGCACAGTGCTCCTGTTTCCATATCCTTGACGCAGCCGATCTGCCGTGCGTGCGTTTTTATGGCAAAAAAAGTTTGATCGCCTCCAAACATGGCAGCTTGAGTTGACGTGTTTTCTGACTTGTAAGGTGAGCTGATGAGCTGCTTGTTCTTCGCCAAGTCGTGTATGCAATAATTTACCCCGTCCCGTCCTTTCTTTTGGTGTAGCACATCCGTGCAATCACTTGTAGTATTACTAGTAGTAGCAGTACCAACTCCGGGTCAAAGTAAATGCAATCTTCTGGACAGATTTTCCTTACGACTGTTCACGGTTTTGATTCATCTCATCTCTGTTTCCCATGGAAATTCTGGGCACGGTTACTGATTCTGTCAAGGTTCTGTGACCAGCTAGCTGATGGATCTACTAGGGAACCCTTTCAAGGGGGTCGTCGCCGATGTCAAAGGGAGAGCGTCTTGGTACAGGGACGACTGGGTTGCAGGGCTCCGAACTGGCTTCAGGTGAGTTTTGTTTGGACTTTCGACAGACCAAACAAGATCATCTGCAGCCCAGTCGTTGGATTTTTACATGTATAAATTGCATCGCTCGATTTGCTTATGCTTCTTTCCAATGTTTGCCAGGATATTGGCACCTACCATGTATATATTCTTTGCCTCCGCACTCCCTGTCATCTCCTTCGGAGAGCAGCTGAGCAACGAAACAGGTTAATGCTTGCCCTCTTAATTACCACAGTACAATACAGCACATAAGTTTGAATGCCACACAATCTCTAACAAGAACGAGGTGATCTATTTCAGATGGTATCCTGAGCACAGTTGAAACTTTGGCATCTACGGCGATATGTGGGATAATACACTCTATTCTTGGAGGGCAGCCACTGTTGATCGTTGGAGTTGCTGAACCTACTATTATCATGTATACGTACCTTTACAAGTTTGCCAAGAAGCAGCCAGATCTGGGAGAACAGCTATATTTGGCTTGGGCTGGATGGTAGGTACAAGCATAGAGTACACCCAATCCTGTGATAGCTTCGGTACCGTATACATAAATGCTCTCTGTGTTTGGTTGCTGTTGGCAGGGTCTGCATTTGGACTGCTATCATGCTCTTTCTGCTGGCCATGTTCAATGCTTCCAACATTATAAGCAGGTTCACGAGGGTTGCAGGAGAGCTTTTTGGTATGCTTATCACCGTCCTCTTCCTGCAACAAGCTATCAAGGTATGCCCACGTGCAGCAAATCGTAGCTCTTTATTTCTGCCCTGCTGAAAATGCCTAATACGGGACCCTGTCTATTGCAGGGAATTGTAAGCGAGTTCAGTATGCCCAAAGATGATGAGATTTCTGACCCCAGCTCACCCATATACCAGTTCCAGTGGATTTATGTCAATGGCCTACTTGGTGTTATATTTTCCATTGGCTTGCTGTACACTGCACTGAAGACTAGGCGTGCAAGGTCATGGCTGTTTGGGATAGGTTGGTCACACGTTTTCTGTTCCTCCCCTTATCTTGTTTTATCTATAGTTTAGTGCAAACCGAACTCCCATGTTACCCCACACATCTTCAAATCAACGACATCCTTTCAACTAGCACTTAGGATTTTTTTTAATCCTAGACAGCACTTAGGATTGGGCCTGGTTCAGGCCCACTCTTGACCTTAGACTAGGCCAACCATGGGCTCATTTGGGATTGGATTAGGTCGGATCAACAGTGGGCAATATTAATCTGGGCTTCGGTTGTCCTATTTTCTTTGGAACACTTGGTAGTAAAGTTGGTGAGATTTCTCAAATATAAAATAAAAATAGGGGCAGTTTTAAAATTCTGTTCCTTCAGCGGTTGAATATCTTTGTCTGTAGTCTGAATCAGCTTATAGCTGTTTCCACAATATAATATATCACCAGGGAAAATCATATATAATGCTCTAGTTCTATATTATTATCCATGCATTCACCCATTGATCACCACGCCTTGGAGTTGCCATTTGCAGGATGGCTTAGAAGCTTCATTGCCGATTATGGTGTACCACTGATGGTGATTGTGTGGACAGCATTTTCATTTGCACTACCAAGCAAAGTCCCTTCAGGAGTGCCTAGGAGGCTCTTCAGTCCACTTCCCTGGGAGTCAATCTCACTGAGACATTGGACCGTAGCAAAGGTATAACTCATCAAATTACTTATGATTCTAGATGTGTAAATATTATTTATGGTCTCTAAGCTTAGTAAAGCTTATATTGCATGCCATAATTCTGATATTTTCCTGGTGTTCACTTACAGGATTTGTTTTCTGTCCCTCCAACATATATATTCGCAGCCATCGTGCCTGCTTTGATGGTCGCAGGACTTTATTTCTTTGATCACAGTGTAGCTTCACAGTTGGCTCAGCAAAAGGAATTTAATTTGAAGAAGCCTTCGGCCTACCATTATGACATTTTGGTACTTGGATTTATGGTACGTGCATCTAAGTCATTCCGTCAGATAA